GTCATTTTTCCCTGGGCTCCCCGGCAGGGGACCGGCCCCCGATGGAGCCCACGCTGTCTGCGTCTCCCAGCCAGGACGTGCCGTGCCGCAGCACAAAGCTGACCCCAGCACCCTCCTCCCCGCCCCGCAGCTCCGCAAACGGGCCCCAGCCGGGACTTTGCAAACGAGTCCCCAGCCGAGTCCCCAGCCCGGAGCTCGAGGTGTCCGACTGTCTGGAATCTCTTTCTGCTTTTCTGGGAGTTCACCCCGAGATTAGGGTTGGGGCTGCGGGACCCCTTCCCCTCCCCGGAGGAGGCAGAAACTGTCCGGTCTTTGGTCTTTTCAGCGGGCAGCGGAGACGCTTGTTGCCTTTGGGGCAGGGATGTTTGCTGTGAATTGGGGGGTTGCTCGCAGGGTGGATAAATATGTATATTCCCCAGGATTGGTACCCTCCTCTGCCCCCCCCTCCCTTTACACCCCCTCCCCCAGCCTCTATTCACCTGCGAGAACCCGAGCCCAGTGCATGAGGGTCTGAGGGTCGTGAAACCCCTTTGACCACTTGTGAGGTCGAAGTGTGGAGGGGATGTCGCGGTGGCCCCATGGCACCACCTACCCTAAACTTTAGGGCTTTTGGGTCGGCTCAAAGTTCAAGCTTCTTAGGGGCAACAAAGACTTTCTAAAGATCTCCACCCCTTCCCCCTCCCCTAACTTCGCTCTCTCTGCTACAGCCCTGGGCCCCCTTTCTTCCTACAGCTTGGGGATGAGTTTAAATCATTGTGCTCCCATTTCTGGATAACTGCCGGCTTTGAGCTTTTGTTCTCCTAAAGTAGGGCTGCGCACTGAAAGAGGGGCTGAGGATGAACAGTTTGACCCTGCAGGACAGTTCACGCGCTGGACAGGAGCGGCCCCCGGTCACCCGCCTCACTGCGGCTATTCACCAGCGCCCCTCCCCCCCACACCTCCCGTGGCCGCCCCGTTTCATCTGGACAATCTTTTGGACCACACAAGTGCCTCTTGAATTTATTTAAGTCAAAAGGGTCCCAGAAGAGCCCAGTTAGGGCGATCCGATCAGGGGATCAGGGCGTTGGTCCCTCTCTTTGCAAATCTGAGTACAAATGGAAATCGCTTCCAGGAAAAACCAAGCAAAATGCTGAGCAAACAGGCTGGCAACTGCTAATGAAATGGTGGGTTTTGGGGGTTTGCACAAGTGTTGGGGTGAGGGGGGTTTTCTTTGTTCCTTCCTCCCTTCCTTCTTTTTCTTTCCTTTTTTAAAATATATTTTTAAAAATAATGTTCAAGGTGTAGATCCATGATAGAGAATTTTCCCTGCAAATATGAGGCCCTGGGTTCGATCTCTGGCACCACGGTAACAAATTCTTCAAGAGAAAAATATTCCCAGCATGTTCTAGTATCAAAAGAAATGCTTCTCCAGAAAATGACTCTAAAAACCCAATATAGATCCTTCAAATGCCAGCCAGCTCTAGAGGGTGATTCTTTCACACCTGTGCTTTGCACAATAATCAAACACACAGGCACCCCCTTATGAAACCCCTATTTAAACAGATAAAAGCCAAGAAAGTCCATGTTATCTCTATGTACACAGTTAGTGATTATATCCAAGTTTGGATATGTACAGAATCTTATTTTTCTTAGTGGTATTGAAATACCCCCCCCACACCCCTTGGAAAGAAATTTCTATAATCTGAATAATTCTGTTTACCCTAAGACTGTATTCTATAACTAAATATCAGCATAGGGAATTGAAATATACATTGGTGCCCAGTACTATCTTGCAAGAACATAAGAAGGGCAGTGTCAGATACCCAAATACTGTTCGCAGCCAATTAGAGAGACTCTAATTGGCAAGTGTTCTGAGCACTAGTTCAGGGCACCAAGCATTAGATTTTACTTGGCCTTGCTATGTTTGGGGTCAGGCTCATCATCACCCTCAACTTAAATGGATTCCGATTCCAAGTCAACTTCCCTCAAAGTAGATTTTATCATCAGATTGACCAAGCACTTCCAAGTTGAAAAAAGAAAAATTTTCAGTGACCTGTCCAAAAAGTTATGTTTCTATTGACAGGACAACAAAACTTCTTTTGTCTTTGATTACACCAGCCCGCTGGTTTGTGTTTCTTGGCAGGCTGTAAGATGTAGATATCTAAAGGCTGACACTCCGGGGGTTCCTCCTGTCATTGCATTGTGTTTATTTTTAGCACTCTTTGATCACAAATCAGAACCTAGATCCCCTCCACCTCAATGTCATTTAAAGGGACGCACAAAAATCTTGCTCCCACATTTGAACATTCCTTCCATCCTTACAAGCCAGGACACCCTACTCTTGAAAGGTTTTTCTTTGAGGAACTGTGTGAAGAAGATGTACTTGGTTGATTTGTGTCAACAAAATAATGCAAATGTGTCTTTGCAAGCTAAGCAAGTATTTCTGGGATATTGCACAAAGGACCTACTTCTGTTGAAATCAACTTTTTTTTTTCTTTAAGTGGGGAGAGTGTTGAGGGTCATACTGGTTTACTCCTGGCTCTGTGCTCAAGAATCACTTCTGTTAGGCTTGGGCTACTGTAGGAGGTGTCCAGAATTAAAACCGGGTAAGACACATGCAAAGCAAGTGTCTTGCCCACTGTGCTCTTTCTTCTGCCCAGAAGGAGACTCTTTCCTTCAGTTCTGATGCTTTGGGTTCAGGATACAGAGAAGACCCGAAGTGGCAGCGGGAGAACTGCAGAGACACAGATCTCTCTCTTCATTCCTTTCCACTTCTGTATTTTCAACAAATGAGTCAAGCTTCTCTGAAAGTTGGGGGAGGGCAAACCATGCCTTTAAATTTAGGAAATTTGTTTTTAAAAGGGAGGAGAGGCAAAGCACAAATATCAGAGAGTATCAAAGACAGTGACAGTGACAGATCAAAGAGCAAAGTGAAGAGCATGGCAGTTTTCTAATAGATTTTTTTTTCAACAGAATCACCATCAGATACACACTTATAAAGTTGTTCATGATTGAGTTTTAGTCATATAATGTTCCAACACGCATCCCTCCAACAGCATACACTTCCCACCACCAATGTCCCCAATTTCCTGCCCCCCCCCATGGCCCTTCCCTGCCCTGCCCTCTATGGTAGGCACTTTCCCTGTGTCTGTCTATCTCTGTCTCTGTCTCTGTCTCTGTCTCTCTCTCTCTTTCACCCCCCAATAGTTTTCAAGACAGAAATTTGGGGGTGGGAGAGTTGGAACCCAGACCCTCTCTGCCCAGGGATTGAGAACATTTTACCTCGAAGCTTCTAATTCTACACCTTACTGCCAGTCGAAAAACATTACATTTAAGACTTTAACAACCGCTTGCATCACCCCCTTGTCTGAAATAGCAGTTTCCACCATTTCCTACAAAGCCCATTTGAAGCGATTTGCCCAAAACCTTGTCTCAGCCGCTCTTTGGCTGTTCTAATTACGTCTTGCTTCAACTTCATTTGAAAAACGGAGCCCGGACAACTCTCTAGTCAGCTGCAGCTCAGCCTCGTGCGTGCGTGATCCTCATGCATGAGCTAATCCTGAGCTCAGTGTACACTTGGTGGTGGGGGGTGGGGTGGGGAGTGGGGTGGGGGGGTGTCCTTGTTTCAGTCTCCAAGAAAAAGTCACATTGGCTAGAGGGTGGTCGTGAGCGCTGGGGAAGGAGAGAGACTGATTCAGGGAGGAGAGAGCAATTCAGAATGAGTTTTCTCCAAAGTCGGGAGCCTGTAAGTCCCCCCCCCCCCCCTTTTTTCTTTCTCTTTCCTCTATTGAAAAGCCGGGAGAAATGGGGAAGACAGGCCTCATGTCCCTACAACGCCCCCCAGCGCGGAGCAGAGGTCACAGAAGTGTCAGCGCAGCCCCATCGCCCCGGGAGCTGCAAGACTCCACCCCGCCACCCCACCCCGCTCGGCTGGCCGCCAGGGACGCCCAATTCCGTGCAGACGGTGCTGGCCCTGCCAGGGAACCCCGGGACCAAGACAGTGCCCTCGGCTGCTCGCAGGTACAGCCAAGAGCCCCCCTACTCTTCAGCCCTACTCAGGAGGGCTTCACTCTCGCAATCCCGACGTGCCCATCAGCCGCGCGCGCGCGCGCCCCGCGGATGATGCCCCCACGCTGCTGTCCCTAGAACCTAAGACCGACGTCTCCAACGCATCCCCAAGCTCGGCCCCTCGACTCTCCCTTCCTCTCGAGAGCAAAGTCCAGGCGTTAGAAAGTCGTTTGCTCTCTGCGGCCGCTCCTAAGAGGCCGCGCGGGCAGCGAAGCGCCGGAGCCGGGGCCGTCGGGGGGCGGGGGGGGGGCAGATTCCGGGATGCCCGACGGCGCGCAGCCGGCAGCGAGCGGGCCGCGACGGCCTGCGGGGGGCCGTGGAGCGCGCGCGCGCCGGGGCGGGGTTGGGGTGCGGCGGCCAGGACGGGGGGGCGGGTGCGGCGGCCGGGGGGTCTCCCCGGCTGCCCCCCCGGGCCCGCGGCCCTAATGAGCGGCTGAAAGCGAGCGGACTCCGGCGCGCGTGGCTCGCGGGCCTCCCGGCGCGGCGGACGCCCCGATTGGCCAACGGCGCCGCGCGCCCTCATTCATTCATCAATTAGCGGCACGCTCCAGCCGAGCGCGAGCCGCCAATCACAATGGGCAGCGGCCGCCGCCCGCTCCGACGGGGGCAGGAGAAGCATTTTATGCTGATTAGACGGAGGGGTGGAGGATGCTGTGAGGAGGAGTTGGAGGAGGAGGATGGATGGATGGCCCGGCCCGGGGAGGGGGGGGGCGTGGGTGAAGCCAGAGAAAGAAATGAATGATGATAATGCAATGAAAAGAAGAAGCGGGGTGGTGGGGGGTGGAGGGAGGAGAGGGGGCGAAGGGGGGTCCGCGCGGGGGGGAAGGAGGCAGCGGGGGGAGCTGGGGGCCCCGGGGGCAGAGGCGATTGTTTTCTCGGTGGTATATAAGGGGTTTTAAGGAGAGTCGTGTGCCAGACACGCAGCCACTGAACCACAAGCAGCTCCGCTTGAACTGGAGTGCCCGGGAGTCGCGTGCCGGAGCCGCGCGGCCGCGAACTGACTGACAGACCGACACGCACCTCCGCGCGCCACGCACGGGAGCCAGGCGGGTGGCCGCGGCCGCCGCGGCGCTGAGCAAACTCACCAGTCGCTGAGGTCCCCGCTTGCAAGCTGCAGGGCGGCCGCCCGGGGAGCGGCGACAGGGACGCAGCGCCCAGCGCCGGCTGCGTTGGAGCCACCGGCCACCGCGACGCCGAGCAAGTAAGTCCCACGGCCGGGCCAGAAGTCCCGGCGGGGACCGCGTCCCACATCCTGGGCCTCGGCTGGTGCGGGATAGCGTTGGCGGAGCCCGCAGTCAGTTCCTCCCGGGGAGCCCGGAGCCCCGGGCTGGGCCGTTCGCAGGCCGGGGGCGTCGGGGGCGCGGGGGGACGGCCCGGGAACTGCCGGCACGCGCCCCGGCTGCGGCCTGGCTCCGCCCTGAGCTCTCCTTCCCTCCCCGCTCGTCTTCTCCGCAGGATGTTCGTCAAATCCGAGAGCCTGGAGTTCAAGGAGGAGGAAGACGTGCTGGTGTTGCTGGGCTCGGCCTCCCCCGCCTCGGCGACCCTCACCCCGCTGTCGTCCAGCGCCGAGGAGGAGGACGAGGAGGAGCTGGGCGGGGCGGGCGGAGCTCGGCGGCCGCGCGGGACGGACGCCGGAGCCGGAGCGGGAGCCGGGGCCGGAGCGGGGGCCGGGGCAGAGACCGGGGCGGGGGTCGGGGGCGGCCCGGCGTCGGGGCCCGCGCGGCTGCTGGGGCTGGTGCACGAGTGCAAGCGGCGTCCGTCCCGGGCGCGGGCGGCGGCGCGCGGGGCCAAGACGGCCGAGACGGTGCAGCGCATCAAGAAGAGCCGGCGGCTGAAGGCCAACAACCGCGAGCGCAACCGCATGCACAACCTGAACGCGGCGCTGGACGCGCTGCGCGAGGTGCTGCCCACCTTCCCCGAGGACGCCAAGCTCACCAAGATCGAGACGCTGCGCTTCGCGCACAACTACATCTGGGCGCTCACCGAGACGCTGCGCCTGGCTGACCACTGCGGCGGCGGCCTGCCGGGGGCGCTCTTCTCCGAGGCCGTGCTGCTGAGCTCAGCCGCCGCCAGCGCCGGCGACAGCCCGTCCCCCGCCTCCACGTGGAGCTGCTCCGACAGCCCCGCGCCCTCCTCCGCCGCCTCCTCCACCTCCCCCTACAGCTGCGCCCTCTCGCCCGCCAGCCCCGCGGGCTCCGACCTGGACTACTGGCCGCCCCCGCCACCCGACAAGCCCCGCCACGCGCCTCCCCTGCCCCTCGTGAGGGACTGTATCTAGGAGTGCGCCCCTGCCCTTTCCTGCCCCGTCCCCCTGGACCGAGCCCTCCCCGCCGTCCCCCTCTCCTGCCCCGCTCGGGAGAGAGAGCAGCGCGCTCAGCAGATGCGGCGGTTCCCAGTCCCCGGTGGCCCGTGGTGGGCGCGGGTCGAAGGACTGCTTCCTGCCTCCAGGCCGGCTCTGATGCACGGAAAGTGCCGACGGCTTCTTGTCCAAGAGGACGGTGGCGTTTGGGGGCGCTTCTTCGAAGTTCAAAAGATGCTGGGAAGGGACGAAGCGGGCCCAGTGAATTGACTGACGCCCCTCCACCCATCCCCCACCCCGCCCCCCTCCAGGACTCGGCGCAGTGCGTGTGAATCTCCCAGGGGGATTGCAACTGGTTCCTGTGATCTCTTCACCTTGGCGGTCCACATAGAGATGTTAATGTCGAGTAGAAAGAAATGTGTCTTAGCATCTGAATGATTTTACCGGTAATAATATTATCCACAGATTTGTAATGCTGGCATCTGCTTTCTTCCCATTGCTGTCGGCGGGCTGTGGGAATTTCACCTGTCAAACCAAACCCTCTTCCTCTGATGAGCACTTTGTCCCGTTTCCCAGATTCGTCACAATGCCCATTGTCCCGTCCTTCTCTCCCCTTTTTTCTTCTCCATTTTGCCATCTGTCTCTTATGATTTATAAGGGGGGAAAGAAGTTGTTTTGTTAGAGGGCCAGGTTAGAAGTCATTGTATAATTTGTAGGCTTTGTAATGATTGAATGCAAGTGTGGAAATTTAGGCTGAACTCTATCAAAAGGAAAACTGTGGAGGAAAAGGGAAAAATCGAGAGGGAGGACTGCCTCATGCATTATTTATCTCGACCTTTTGGGGGAGAGGGAACTCCCCTATTCTTTCAAGAGATTAAAAATAAATCAACAGAGTGGAAACCTGAGCAGACACGGGGCATTATCCGAATCAGCCACACACGTGTTCCCCTTCTATTTATTATAAAAATTTTTTTCATGGGAAAATATGTATTTTTTTGTATATTCCACAGAGTTTATTCTAGTATGTATTTACAGCTTGAAGAACAAGAAAATTGTTCTCTCACGATTAAACTATAAATAAATATATAATTTTCATAATTTGTGCATGTTGTAACTTTTTCTTGCTTCCGGGGGTTGTAGAAACTGAGCAGAATAGCGCTTCTCTGAAACAAATAGAATGGTGTGCTTGTAGTCTTTATTTTGCTTGTAGATTTTCACTGGAAGTCTGGGAAATTGCAAGGGTTGAATAATGTGAAACACCAGCACAGACAGAGGGGCTTAACGTGAAAATCAAACTATTTTGAGCCAGCAAGAGTAGTAAAATGGAAATATTTGAATCACGAAACCACTGGGAGCTATTCAAATCTCCCAAGCAAACCAGAAATGTTGATTTTTAAAATGAGTGAAGTTGAAATTTCTTGGAGGACTGTGTGGACACTTGCTCTTTTATACTTCTCTGATCTTCAGCTATCTGCAAACTGGAGAGAGGACCAAGGGCCCCATTGAGTCGAACTCATTTCAGGAAGTCAATTTCATCTTAGCCCTTTTAACCAGCTAGCGGGTCTGAAAAGCAAATTTGTAGAGACAGAGAAATATTCTGCATACTTATACAGTGAAACAGTGGTATCTGAGAAAGCTCAACATCTCAATCTTTGAGGAAATTCGGATAATGTGATTTACAAAGAGCAAGTCAAATTGTTTTTCTAAATCACAAAGACATCACTATAAGTGGCACTCAAAGTCTCCCTAGCAGAATTGAATGACCTTATATTAGCCTTGGGTTAATGAGGGTGGGTTGGGCACATCCTAGGTTGAATACTCTCGGACCTTGGGGAAGGTTCCAGAACACCGCCCCCCCCCCATCCCAATAGCAAAGAGATACTGATTGTTCCGTCTTTCAATTTACCCACCCCCAGTTTCCACACCAATTCCATGTCTGCTTCTGATTTGGGATAAACCGTCAGCTTCTCTGCATAAAACAATGGTCTCCTGAGACAGCTCTCTCCAGAGAGAATCCCCATCACAGACGCTAAGCCAGCCACTCACCACTCTTGCTTCTTCCATCTGAGAGAGGGCTATTGCCTTTGAAAGTTATGTTTGTTTAGAGACAGAGACAGAGATAAGAGAGAGACAGAGAGAAACAGAGAGAAGATTATAGTCTAAGGGGTACGTGATGAAGTGCTGAGACTGCTAAGGGCTTTCTTTGGAAACTAGTCAGTCATAAGGCAGCTCAGGGCTCCAGGTTTCTGCAGTTAGACCCTCAAGTGGACTGACTCTTCCTAAAGGAGAAACTCAGGTGGTGAGGCGCTTCCATAAACAGCTGACCCTAATTACCCAGTAGGGAGGCCTGAGTGGGTCGAGGAATAAATTATCATGGCAAGGAGTGAGAGTCAGCTAAAGACCTCACAAGAGCCCCAGCTGGACCCTGCAGCTACTTGGGCACTGTTCCCCGGTTCAGAGGTCTGCTGTCCTGACCTGTCGGGTTTCCCTACACAGTACAGGGTGCCCTCCTGGGCACCACCCATGGCGGGGGGGGGGGGGGGGCAGATACTCAGAGTGCCCCTCTGAGTCAGGAGACTTCCCAAATATGGGTTTGACCGTATTTCAAACCCAGTAGCTGATGGGGAATGCGTTCATGGTAACTACTTATCTGGCAGTGCAGAATGCCGATTCCTGGGGTTCCAAAGGACTGGTGTGCGTGCCTGGTATGCAGAGGATCCCCAGTACCGCATATATTTCACAGCACCACCCGGAGTGACGTCAGAATCTTTTTTTAAAGGGAGGTGTCTTTCTCTCTTGGTACTGAGGCTCCATCTAGTTGCAGCACACAGTAGGGATGTGGATGTATGTGTGTGTGGGGTGGAGTGAGGAGAGGAGGAGGAATCTTTCCTTCAACTCCCTTCCCTCTGTACTTGGGGTGGGTGGGACAGAGCCGGCTGGGGGAGAGTTGAGAACTGCAACACTTTGCGAGCTCGCCTCCAGACCATTCTTGCGGGCCATTGGAGAAGCTCCATCTTGCCAGCGTCAGCGGGCCCAGGCGATGCGGGTGGTGCCCTGGGGCCACTGTCCTCGGGGGTCGGGCTGACTTGTCCGAAAGCCCGGGCCGGATACCACTTTGCATTTCCTGGGCTGGAGCGCCAGTAACGGCGGGAAGGGCGTTTGCGTTGCACTCGGTCTATGTGAGGACGAATGAGCCCCAGCATCCCTGTGGTCCCCGGAGCCCGCGAGGAGTGATCCCTGAGCATCGCAGGGTGAGACTCAAAAAGAGACAGAGAGAGAGAGCAAGAGAGAGAGAGAGAGAGAGAGAGAGAGAGAGAGAGCGCATCAGTTGGAGTAGCTGGAGAACTGAGCAAGAAAAATAAATAAAACCAACACCCCCAAACAAAGCATCTTGCAGGGTTCAAGTTTTCCCAGGTCTTCAATCCATCTACTCAGGCTCAGTGGGGAGGAGCCCAGAGCTTGTCAGGGTCGGGGCGCTAGTGCAGCCGGTTCCGGGGCGAGGTACCGAGCGCCCGGCTCGGCCCGGAGTGGTGGGGGGGGGGCTGCAGCCCTGCCAGAGCGCTGGGTGGGTGAGGGATGGCGAGCCCCTCCCGCCGCACCCCTGCATCGCGGCGCCGGGCCCCCGCACCTGGACCCGAGCAGTGCGGGCCGGGCGTGGGCCCTGCATGTATTAATTCAATAAAGCCGGCGGCCTCGCCCCGCGCCCAGGCGGCCGGCACCCCCGGAGCCGCCAAAGAAAATGTGTGAAAAGAGAATTAGTGAAATTAGGTTAGACCAATAAAACGCCAGGCCCCGGGCACCCCGCACCCCGCCCGCTCCCCCAGCCCGAGGCGACGGGGGCTCCGCGGCCTGATGTATTGTTTCTGGGCCCGGCAGGGGGTGCATTGTGTGATAACTAATTCCCCCTCCGTCTGATTCTGGGGGTGGGGGGGGTATTTGCATAATCGTGGCTTTGATGTGGGCCAGGAACGGAGGCGTGGGCTCCCCAAGTCCGCGCTCGGAGCAACAAAGCTCGCCCCCCCCCACTTAAAAAAAAGAGAATCCTTTTTAATGATTAAACTTAAGGAATGTTCCATAGAAGGGGGGAAGGGTACAACCGAGGTCCTCAGCCCCTCCACCTCTCCGGGTCCTTGGGGGGCGGCAGGGGGCACCCCACGTGGCTCTCAGCGGGCGCTCGCGGGGAGCCCCACTCAGGGGTCCTGCAGCGCGCCCCTCTCCGTCCCCCAGCGCCGCCCCGCGTGGCTCATCCATCCTGGGGACGGGCTTCATTTTAGGGCGGCGCTGCGCTTGCCTTTCCAGCGGGAGGGATGCGGGTGGGGCGCGGAATCCCCTGGGAAACGCACCTTGGGGACAGTTTCAGACGGTCCCCGCCAAGCGCCAAGAAACGCAGCGACCCCGGAAAGCGCGGCTCGAGCTATTCGGTTTTCCCGGGAAGGTGACAGGGTTAGGGGGCGGGGGCGGAGTGGGAAAGTCACAATTAACTTCTGTCCCCCTCCCCCTGGCGCCGCCCGGCGTGGGAGGGTCCTGGTTACACCAGCTCAGGCCCCAAGGGGGGAGGGTCCGCTTGGCGTCGTGACGCCCAGAGGCGTCCCCCACCGGTTCTCACCTGCAGCCTCCCCCAGCCTCAGCCCGAGCGCCCTCCACACTCACAGAGCTCCTTCCTTCCTTCCTTCCTTCCTTCCTTCCTTCCTTCCTTCCTTCCTTCCTTCCTTCCTTCCTTCCTTCCTTCCTTCCTTCCTCCCTCCCTCCCTCCCTGTCTTCTTCCCTTCCTGTCTTCCTCCCTTCCTGTCTTCCTGTCTTCCTGTCTTCCTGTCTTCCTCCCTTTTTTGCTTTTTGGGTCACAGCAGGTGATGCACAGGGCTTACTCCTGGCTGGCTCTACACTCAGGAGTTACTCCTGGCGGTGCTCAGAGAACCAACCACATGGGATGGGAGGATTGAACCTGGGTCAGATGCCTGCAAGGCAAACATCCTACCCTCT